AGTGAGGAATGTTAATAAAAGGAGAGGATGTGTGTGTGGGGGAGCAGGATGTATACGGAAAATCTTCATGCCTTTCTCTCAATTTGGCTGTGATCTAAAACTGCTCTAAAAATTAAGTCTTTTTTAAAAAAATAAATGAAACTCATTAAGTGTCATACCCAAGTTAAGACCCATGCTTTTCCATTTTTTTTTTTGCCTGCGGCATCTTATGAAAAGAACAGGAATCCAGGATTTCTTTGAAAATCCAAGACAATCAGAAATATTTGAAAACACAGAATATTTAGGAAACTAAAGGCCTTCCTGTCTGTAGGAATGGATTGTGAATCAACCCAAAGAAAGAACTCCCTTGAGGGTTGGTTATTGATGTCAAAAATGTCCTCTCAGGTTTGGAATGCCAAGAGGAGGCTGTAAGACAGAAATTGCACAAAGGCAAGATAAGAGAGAGCTTAAGTGATGCAGAAGACTGGCAAGGACAGAGTCATCCAGTCCTGCATGTCAGCGAAGCAGGAGATCTCTAAACAGCATGACGTGTAGCAGTGATATGGTCGTCAGCATTAGATTGCCCACTAAGCAGGCTTCATCTAATGAATAGAGTGTAATGTGAATTATGGTGTTATCCTCTTGATGTAAATGATGGGAAGGATGGATCTATGACTATTCTAATATGTACATTTGGGAAGTAATGATGAAGTAGGAGTTTTGAGATTGTGTTTTAGTAAAATTGTGTACAAGGACTAAAAGCCACTAATATGTAAATACCGTAGGAACACAAAAATGATTAAGATGTAGATTCCGTTTTCAAGATCTTAAATAGTTATGTCAAAATCTTGATTCAAATCCAAACTCTTCCAACTCACTAGCTAATTATCTAGTTGTGTGACCTTGGGGAGTCTCTTCCTCCATAAGATGTGAATTACAATGGGAAAAAATCTTATAGGGTGGTTGTGAGAACAAAATTAGTTTACTGGATAGCCGGCTCTGTTTGTTGGTTTGACATCTATCAATCAACCCCATAACCCATTAGACATGAGTTAATCTATACAGTATTTAGAAACTGCAAAATTGAGGAGTCCTATACAAAGCTGTTTCATGCTCTGTTATATGGTAATCCTTTAATCAGTTATGCACTCTGACTAGAACTTTTGCCCTAAATCCAGAGTGGGAAAATGTGGTGAGCTGGTTGCTGCTTTTCTGTTTGTCTCTTTACCTGTTGAAGTCTGCCAGCTTGTGTCCTGTCAATTGGTAATAGCCCACTGTGCACTTTAATATTAATATAACTGTTTAGTGAAGCAGCAAAATGGAGTCCCATTTAACTAATGTGAGTTTTGCTGGTTTTAGATTTTATGATAAACTCTTTATAGCCTGTACCTGGGACAGCCAGTCAGTGTGATAACATCTGCAGATAGGACATGAGACTATTGACTGCCACTGTAGTTAGTGGCCATTAGTAAAAAGGAATAAGGTTAAAGATTTTTAATAATGTGTTCTGAAAACAAAAATAAATTCCTGGAATCAAGATTATTTTTCTCTACATAAAGAATTTTTCTAAGTATGTACATGTTTTTCAACTTATCTTGACATATTATTTTACTGTAAAACATAAAAACAGGTAAAAATTATTGCTTGAATTATGAAAAAATAAGTTTTGCTGTCACACTCTTAATATAGGACATATATTAAAGTGACATAGTACTAGACCATTTCCCCAATTTATCAAAAGTTAAGAACTCCTGGAGATTTAAAAGCATGCATTCAAATGTTGACTGTTCTTGGGAACTAATTAGAGTGGAAGAGAGTAAAATGAATTCAACAGCGGAGTATTCAGGAGCTGCACACGAGGACTTAAAATATATTTCTCACATGATATAGAAAATTGGAAATTACATTATGCACTGAATTACTACATTTTATGAATGTGTTATATATTAATAATAGTTTACAAAGGATAATTTACAGATTTTTCTGTTTCATATCTAGACATTGCCAACCTCATTTAATATATGCTTAAAGTCTTTACCTGAAAAAATTTCTAAAGTAATATGTTAGCTCCATCTCTTATCTACTGGGACTTCTGTCTCTCAGTAGTCATTTCCAATAAATAGCAGGTGTGTTTTAGAACCGTGACTATCCAAAAAGAGAGAGATGCCAAATTATAACTACCAAGCCATTTTTCATTACTAATAGCTCATTTTAGTTTTGTTAGCAAAAGCTGTCTTGTCATTCCTTGAATTGAAGGTGAAGACAGTATTTCTTATAATTTATTGAGAAATCACAAATGAATTTACTAGTGTAATTTTTAAAGATATGGCAAACATTAATTCAGAGTTTTAAAATTGAGCATAATATAATTTTATTAGGTTAAAAATAATGCATCAATTTATTTCTAAATGATGATTAGCAAATGGAGAAATGGTATAGGTAAAGAAGCACAGAAAGAGGAAGATGGAAGAAAGAAAAGAGAAAAATGAGAAGGATAACAGAAGGAATAGGAAAGAGATAGAGAAAGCAGAAGGATATTTAATAGATTCACAGATGCATGTAAGTTACAATAAATGGGTTTATCTTCTTCCATTACTTAACACTGCAAATCATTTGAGCTATGAGTTGCTATTTGCTACTTTTTTGAAAATGTGTATTCATTAGTTTTCTCATTCCATAAACATATATTGTACCTCCTGGACACAAAGCACAGAGCTAAACCCTGTGTGGGATAATAATATACAGTATATTCCTTGCTTATTAGCTATTATTTGCATCTCTTCAGCTGCTCCAACGTTTCAACCATTGCATTATCCACCCAGACACAAATCATTTTGGGCTTTACTAGTGTTATGCAGAATAATATCATTTCTGTACCACATACAATCCTGTTGAGGGCCTGGGAATCCAGCATTCTTCTTAGTTCAATGACATGTTATTGTGGAAGTTATTAAAAGTAAAACTGTAAGCTCAAATCATTAAAATATCTCTCTGATGTTGCAGCATGTAACAATCTTCCCAACCAGTCTCTATTTAAATCTGCAATTCCAGCCACTTCCTTTCCACTCAATTCTTTGTTTCCAAGTGATACAAATTAAGTAGACCTTTCCTGTTATAGAAGTTGTATTTACGTAGCAATTGTTTTCCCTGGCTTGAGGGTCAGGGAATTGTACTTACCCAGAGCATTTTTTTCAAATTATAAAATGTTAGGTGAGAGAAATAATGTTTTAATTAAGAGCTCAACACAGCAAAATGCACATATAATCCAAAACAGGTCTACTTAAGAGAAGGAAGTAAATAAATATGTGTATTATATTGCTTTGATACCATTTAGCTTTCAGAGAGAATATTCAAAGTGAGTAGTCTAATTCCAGGAAACATTGTAATGTTATGAGGCCATTGAGCCTTTCTACTTTAGTAGAATATTCTACTAAAGTTTGTGGATTTGCTCAAGAAATAAGTTAAAATACTGATGCAACTCTAATTCTTTTCAGTGATCAAAATGGGAATGAGTAGTGATTATGTTCAGAAACTGATAAAAGAAGATAATTTATGCTCAGCATTGGTGGCCAGTCCACTAAAAGTGATGCACTGTCTGGAGTGAACTGAAAGAATAAGGTTATAGTCCAGACTTTTCTTCCTTTTATTCTTGTTCTTTTTCTTGCACCATCCCTGCCCTTTTTCTTTTTCTTATAATCTTCTCCACTTATTCCAGTTTTTGAATTTAGTGTGCTATGGTAGGCTGGAGAGAAGCTTGCATAGAAAATTATAAGGAGATTTTATTCCAGAGAAATGAAAAAAAATCACTCTAAGACGGTATTAAATCAAGTTATGTTGAATTCAGAAGTTTTATCACTGTGATGGAACCCCAGGAGTCTTTTGAGGATCAATAGTCTTTACTCCCCAAACATGACATCATTAGGTCCCTTTTATTCCAAGAGGGGCCTAATCATGCTATTTGGTTACTCTATTAATGATGATGTTCATGTTACAAAGAAAAGTCCAGCTAGTTTTATTTTTAATACTATGATGCAGGCAAAGTAAATAACATTTTCAGATACTATAGCACAATTTTATAAATTACTGCACTCCAGTACCTAAATGATTCCATTAAATTAGATTATTTGAAAGTTGTGTTCCTTTTTCACAAAATATGATTTGTCATTGACTCCTACATTTATCAAATATTTGAATGCCTAATAAATCTCAGATGCCAAGATGACTTTTTAACTATTTTTTTGCTCATATTTTGACTTGGAATGAAAATAATTTATAGATTAATATATGTGTGCACGTGTGTGGGTTTACACACATTAGAGTGTACAAGTGTTATCCCAAGGGCAAGTATAATGATAAATGCAGGCATAAACTTATTTGAAACCACATTTGTGCCCATATTTTATCCACAAGTTCATGTGGATAACCTATACAGTTTAATGTCCTATAAGAAAGTTGCATGTGTTTCAAAAATAGCAGTATCCTATACCTTGCCATATAACATGAATAACAAAATATGTGACATAAAATTTATTTTAAAGATGTTTTGGGGGGCCGGGCTCGGTAGGTGATGCCTGTAATACCAGCAATTTGGGAGACCGAGGTGGATGCATCACCTGAGGTCAGGAGTTCAAGACCAGCCTGGCCAACATGGTGAGGCGCTGTCTAAATACAAAATATTAGCTGGGCATGGTGGCAGGCAGCTGTAATCCCAGCTACTCAGGAGGCTGAGGTAGGAGAATCACCTGAACCCAGGAGGCAGAGGTTGCAGTGAGCTAAGCTTGCACCATTGCTCTCCAGATTGAACCACTGCACTCCAGCCTGGGCAACAGAGCGAAACTCCATCTCAAAAAAAAAAAAAAAAAAAAAAACCAACAGATATTTTTCTGAATGTACATATACATATATTTTTATAAATGATTTTATACATTATATACTTACATACCTATGTGACACATGAATTATATATGTATATACATTATATATTTTATACATATGTATATGTATATTTAATACACAATAAAACTGATATATGTATATGCATGTACATTTTTATACATGTCTATACATTTATATACCTAAATTTAACACACATATGTCATGTATATACATGTTTAATATGTACAAATAAAAACTGATGAATTTGCCTTGTTTTAGAATAATTTTTTAGAACTCAATTTGTGCTCTTGTTTGTGGAATAGTTTTAACGAAGTGTTCTTTGTCTTGGTTGTATTGAAGGTGGCATCATACACAGTAACAACTTTATAGAATAACATTGAAGTTAATCTGCTTTTGGGGGGTGGTCAGAATTTTATATTTATTATATACTGGTTGTCTATACAATTTTGATAATAAGGTTGGTCCCTCAAAATTTTTCTTTGAAAGAATATATGTAGTCATGTTTCCGATTAGCAGATACCCGAAGCTATTGCTGTTATACTTCTTTAACTTCTCTGGAGGAAAATACCACTGCATGTATGGTGCCCTTAATGACCTTTCATTAGCCCCCAGAATTAGCTGTCTGAATTTGTGTGTCTGACATTGGATAAAATATTTGCATTTTTTTTGTTTGTTTGTTTTTTGTTGTTTTTTTTTTGAGACGGAGTTTCACTCTTGTTACCCAGGCTGGAGTGCAATGGCGTGATCTCGGCTCACCGCAACCTCCGCCTCCTGGGTTCAGGCAATTCTCCTGCCTCAACCTCCTGAGTAGCTGGGATTACAGGCACATGCCACCATGCCCAGCTAATGTTTTTTTTTGTATTTTTAGTAGAGACGGGGTTTCACCATGTTGACCCGGATGGTCTCGATCTCTTGACCTCGTGATCCACCAGCCTCGGCCTCCCAAAGTGCTGGGATTACAGGCTTGAGCCACCGCGCCCGGCTGCATTTTTAGCTGGGATAAGCTTGGAAACACGGCAATGAACGTGAATTTCATAGCCTTTAGAACCAAATTACAGCTGTCTATAGCTTTTATATTTCTTTAGTTTTGAAAATACAGACCACCATTAATAGAAATGTCTATTACTTTTTAGATATAATGATTTACCTATGATAAATATCTTTGTTGACCCCCGCACATTTTCCTTTGTATTTTCAACCTTTGTTTTTAAGATCTTCTCAACAAGGCAACCACTAAGAGAGCTGTTTTTACTTGCTGTAGCTGAGTGGTTCTCAACCCTATCAGGCCTCAAATACACTTTATACAGCGAACATTTGAGACTGTCCCTTTACTATTTTGGCATGAAATTCATAGACAATATCACCTGCTTATAGTCTTATTTTTTTTTAACTGTAATGTAGTGCCTTAAAACAACATAAAGAAAATATTGTAGGAGATATTTCCAAATTTAAAATATATGTATTTCAGCATGTGAACTCTCAAGCATATCCACACAACAAGACACAATGATGCCATATGTGCCCGTCTTAGGTAGAATCACTATGTATCCGACAGTTACAAATACAGATTGATGGAGGTGTGTTGCATTGGGTATTCAGGCACCATTCATGAGGAAGCCATCAAAGATCTGATTTTCTTAAATGCGAAACAATTCTTGGTAATGGTCAAGTAAAACGAAAGATAATCTTTCTTTGATTTACATGGTAGTTGCATTTTTGTAAGAACTAGTGTATAGAATATGCCTTAGGGTATGTGTGTATGTATCTATATATCAGTCTATAGATCTGTATTTTGTTTGTATAAGATACAATTACAATTTAAATGTACAATTAGATCATTTAATCTGCCTTCTCCACATAAGCATATGTGTGTATGTGTGCTTGTGTATGTCTAATGGAGTTGTGATTTAAGTGCAGATGCTTGTAAGTAGGTTTTTCATCTACATGAATGTCCCATGAGGCATGGAAAAAATGTGCAGCCTGCAGGATATCTCCCTCCTTGTGTGTGGGACTATCTTCTTGTGTGTAGGAGCGTCTGTGACTTTTGTATGCTAAATACCAGCAGTACTTACCTTTACACACCAACAAATTTCCAAAATTCCTGTAGGATGCATTGTGATCCCTTTTCGTTACCATGACTGTAGTTTTTTTCTTATTGTATTTTATTCCATCACTTTCTATCTACTCTGTAACCCACTTTAACCTGGTGTCCACTCTCATTACCCATCCAGCCCAAACTCAAAGAACTGTATTGAAAACACTCTCGCCAAGGACCCTTAGTACTGCAAGTTGTTAAATGCTCATCCCATCTAACTTTTAAGTAACTGTAGACATAGATTCCGCATCTGGACCACCTCAGTTATCTCCATGGTAACACACCCTTCTCATGCGCCTTCTTACTTTCTGGCTTTTTTTTTTTTTCTAAGTAATCTTTAAATATTGTGATTCCTTCTAACTTGATTCTATGCCCTTTGCAGCCTCACACACCTATTCCTATGGCTAAAATTTTCAACTAAATGCAAATAGCTTCTATATATTTCTAGCTTAAATTCCTCTTCTGAGCTCCAAACTTGTATATTAATTCAACTGCCTACTCAAAAGTTCCATATCGATGTCTCACATGCATCTGAAATGCAGTATGTCTGCAATTGAATTCATGTCCTTCCACCCAAAACCTGGCTTCCTCCAGTGTTTGCTGGCTCAATAAATGCAGCAACATCTGCCAAGTTCCTCATGCCAGAAGCCTAGGTGCCATCCAGGACACATCTACAGGATCATGTAGTCAATCTGTTACTGAGCTCTATATAGTCTACCACTTATTTAAAATGCATAACTGTTTATTTAACTTTACTGTTTATTAACTTCAGCATTCTAAACATGCAAAAAAACAATAATGCAAATTATATTTAAGCACAGAGGTTCTTGAACTTTGATTGATGCAGTGGCTCTTCCCTTTGCTGACAACAAACAGCTCTGCAATTTGTTTAAGAACAAAGTTTCAGTGGGTCTGATGGCTCATGCCTGTAATCCCAGCACATTGGGAGGCTGAGGTGGGAGGTCCACTTGGACCTGGGAGTTCAAGATAAGCCTGGGCTACATAGTGAGACTCTCATCTCCATAATGATTTTTTTAAATTAGCTGAGTGTAGTTATGTGCACCTGTGGCCTCAGCTGCTTGGGAGGCTAAGGTGGAATGATCCCTTGAGCCTGGGAGGTTGAGGCTGCAGTGAACTATGATCATGCTCCAGCCTGGGTGACAGAGCAAGACCTTGTCTCAAAAAAAAAAAAAAAGTTTCAAAATGACTGCACTTAACTAAAAAAAATTCAAACAATTTTCATGCCAGCTGACACCTTCGGTCCAGAGCAAAGAATGGCAGCAGAATACTATGTTACTCTATACAGAAACAAGACAACTAAAGCTAAATGGATGCGCATTGCGGCGGCAGCAGGTCCAGCCTCACAGTCCATGTGCTGAGCTCCAGGTTCTCCAAAAGCCCTCATCCCCCACAGCCTCAACACGAAGCCAGGAGCCTCAGGAGTTTGTCTGTATTTTGTTCTTTTCACAAACGATGTATATGTACAGTTGACACCTCAGGATTTCTAGGCCGTAGCTATGTAGTAAACATCATCATACACATGTTTTTAAATGCCAGAAACATCTTTAAGTGCCTTATCACACAAACAGTAAAGTGCACAGAGTGAGGAAAACACAAGATTGCCTTTTTATTTTTAAAAATGTTTGAAAATACATATAACCTTGACATAGTTTCAGGATGCTCCAGACACCCACAGCCACTTGAGGTAAACCACTCTCAATTTCTAGACCACTTTGAAAAACTGCAGTATGATTCTGATCAGATTTTTTCATTGAATCCAGTGAGGCCAATAGATACTTCTCAAATAGATGTGTCAGTTACAGCACTCCCCTCCTCTAATGTGTTCACAAAGAGACAGATAAAACAGGTTTTTTCGTTCATCCTCTTCCTCTCCTTGCTTTGTCCTCCACGTCTTCTTCATGTTCCTCTTCCACCTTTTTCCAGACAATGTTAGCAGGGCGCATTGAGCCATCAAACTCCCCTGTACACTTACTGTCAGCAGCATCCTTCTCGCCCTCTCTTTAAGCTTCTCCACCTTAGCGATGTCAGGCTGCTTCTTCCTGTCACTTATGTGATTCCACATCTCACCTGGCTTTTTGCCAGGGATGCCAGGATTTGCAGATTTGACTTTGAAGTGGACTTCTGAACAGAACAGAAAGAATCCAGATGGCGGCCTTTTTGAGACCTTCGAGGCCTTCTTCTTGCCTCCCTGAGCTGGTCATAATCATTCATTTCCCCATCAGAGCCTACTTTTACTGCCTTTGCCATTTTATCAGATTTAGACTTGTCTTTCCCAGACACTTTCACCTCTCAGAGCACTTCTTGAAAAATTCTGCTAAGTTGACAGGGAACTCTGGGTTTTTCTTTTTATGTTCTTCTCTGCACATCTGCACAAAGAAAGCATAAGCAGACATCTTTTTTTGTGTTTTGTTTTTATTGCATTTTAGGTTTTTACCCCAAAATGTGAAGAACATGCAAGATTGTTGCATAGGTACACATGTGCCAGTGTGATTTGCTGCCTTCCTCCCCATCCCAAATAAGCAGACATCTTACCCTTTGGTTTCTTGGGGTCACCTTTAGCCATCCTGACCATATTGTTTGCTAATCTGGGCCGTGCAGGGCATGATGCCTTGGCTCAGTGCTCTCCAGCATCGAGCTAGCTGCCACCATGAAAGGCAGCTGTCTACCACTTAAATAGCTCTTACATTCATCAAATACTGCCCGTTTCCATTTCACCATCAACACTAAAGTCTGCCAAACTAATCCTTGGTTCTTGCTGGGGCCTGTGTTTCAAACAAGTTCTTAATCAACCTGTTTTCTCAGATGCTCTCACTTCTTCCAATTACACTACTCTAAGTAGATCGTCAGAAGGAGCTCCTAAAAACATCCAAATCTCAGCACAGGGGTTTAAATGACCCCTGGGCCAAATCTGGACAATCGCCTATTTTTGTAAATAAAGTCCTATTAGAACACAGCTGCGCACTTTCTAAAGTAATATTTTCTATGGCTGTTTTCACTTTATAGCAGCTGAGTGAAAAGTTGCAAGAGACTTCATACTCCCAAAGCCTAAAATCTATACCATCTCTTTAGAAAAAAAATTGTCAACATCCGCATTGAGCATGTACTGAATATGCAGTAAATGTAATTAATTGTTTTATGTCATATTCTCCAAATACAGCATAGCTCTCCTTATAGTCCCTAAGACCCCATATGGTTCCTTATAGTTTTGCTTGTAGAGAAAGATCTTGTGTTTTCAGACTTTGTGTTCTGTTCAGATTTTAATCATGTGAAAAAAAGAATTACTCACTTAGTATCAATAAGAGCAGATGCCAAAATAGCTATTTGAGATAGCATTGAAGTTTGTGCTCCTTGAGAGCCAGCTTCTAGAGACAGCTACCTAGCTGTCCCTCACTCAAACACCTGCTTGCTGGCACCCAGTTTTGATATTCCTCTTAAGGAGAATGTCAGAGCATTATGTCACATTTTATAACAGTTTAACAGTACCTTCTCCAGGCAGATTCATTATTAAGTACATATTAATATGAAGGTTCAGGATGGCCTGTCTTTTGATTATGGTTGTGAAAATTTCCCTACTAAGTTGTGAACTCTGTATCCAAAGCTCACTAGAGCAAGGTAAAAGTATTCTCCATAAAGCTGAGCTGCACTTCCTCAGATTGTCTTGCCATCTGTCTCCTTCAACAAAATATGCCAGTTGAAGGTGTCCAGACACACATAAAATGGGTATTCTTGATACGTTTTATTTCATTTTTTTAAAGTAGATACCTATTTTATAGATGGAAACTTTTATTGCATTGTAGTTAGAAGAAGTGCTACAATTGGTTGCTATTTTTGAATAATCGAGGACCAGATTTTTAGATTAATGCAAACAACAAATGGATAAGTCCCGTTTGGTTTGACACACTTTATGTTTATTATAATAGCCACTGTTATTACTATTATTTCATATGGACATTATCACATTGTTACATATG